GGGGCAGATGGGAGCGCTTCTTCGATGAAATATCAGAAATGGTTGATCGCGGCACCGACAGCAGATAGGAGGGGAGCTTATTGTGTATGGAACTAGAAAAATGAACAAGCGCAAAATATTTCCCCGGACCAAACATGACTTCCTCCCCTGCGGTGACCAAATACGGTCCCTTGCGGGATCCTCAACGTACGTTTGCTTGGTCTCTGCTTGGTCTGCAGAGATGGTCCATAAGGATAAGCTGTTAATCTATTACTACTTGTTTAATAATTCCTTCAGTTCTCTGCTCCCTCCACCTCCCTTGGTGACCTCAACCGCAGGACGGTCCACGGTCGCGTCTGCCTATTACGCAACAGGTGGCACTGTAGAAAAACAGGTCGTGGATAGCCGACCGACAAACATTCTCCAGTTACTCGAATATTTGTAGATCTCTCAGATGTCTGGTAGAAATAAACACAAGAATCTTCCCTAACTGCAAGGGGCGTCTCCTGGAGCCATTTCAAACGGCAAAGGACGAGTTTCCTCAAGTGACAGAGCGATTAAGCTAGAATGGGTTATGTCGGATTTTCTCTCAATAACCTAATGGAAACTGGTAACTTCAATAGGGTCCTAGCTCAAGTCTGAGGGTACTCAAATAGATATGCGGATAACCATCTGCTTTCCTCGCCTGTAAAGGTGTTGTGTAAAACTACGGTAATTGAGATTTTACGGCACCTAGCCCGGTAGTTGTAAATCTCCGTTCTGTGAACGCCTGCTGCTTAGAGATAATCATCTGGGGTTGTAAGTCCCATAAGGCGGTCAGTGTTTGGGAATAAGCCATAATTGCTAAGGAATCAAAACTCTCAGTTGGATTAAGTTCTCATATGGAAAAGCCTTTATATTGATCGGTAAGTTGGCAAATTCGAAGTCAAAAGTATTGAAAATTAAAAAGGTAAAGTATTGATCAGAAACCAGGCAACTATGTATGTAGTGCACCCGCATTTACTATAGCTTATAGCTTGTCCTCCCATGGCTTAGGGGCTTGCAAGTTGACACTGAAGGACGGAAAGCGAACTTTAAAAGCCAAAATTCCTTTATCATTCTTCCAGCCACTCCTTACATGCCATCATATATGGAGGACGGTCAAGCATGTGTCGTATGCGGCGATGTGGCTACAGGTCTACATTACAGGTGAGCTTTGATAAATAATTTTTATTACTGCGATTTTTTATCCAGATTACCACTGAGCATCGGTGCAGTTTGACGGGAAGGAGGGGCATTTTGCATTTTCGCTACTTCCCATCGACGTGTCGACCTATCTAGGCAGCCTCTTCTCGAGTTGACAGGTTTTACCATGATGGCTAGATGAGCTTGCTCCAGCTTCACAAGAGTTCACAGGTTTCGCCAGAGTGAGACTTGTAAACCGGAACTAGGGAAGCAATGGTAGTACAAAATGCACCCCCCCCCCTTCCCCTCCGTCGTCAAACTGCGCCCTGAGTATCATAAGCAACTCACAGCTGAAGCGTGGTTTTTTATGCCGGCCCATGAACATTGCTGTTTCAGAGCGATCACCTGTGAAGGATGCAAAGGTTTCTTCCGTCGAACTTCACAGGTACGTTTTCCCCATCAATTTTTTGACCCCCAGGGAGTCTACAAAGGTAACCTCTATCATGACGTCTGGCGGCTGGTTCGAGTTATCCTATACGTTCCCTTGATAGAGATTATTATCTGTCTCCGTGTAATAGCACATCCTGGCACTTCGGCTTGGGAGGGTCAGTTTTCTCTCTCACTAGTTTCATTTGCTAGTCGCTCTCAAACTACACGCCACGCCTCGATGAGACCTATAGGTTCACGTCAACTGTAAACGAAGCTTCCTCTGTATCAAACTGTCTCTAGTCTCTACTGGTGGGATGGCAGTAGTCGTTGGTAACACACCAGAATGTCCCTTTCCAAGCCGGATTGCCTACCTGATGGTTTTTGTATTTCTTTTGCAATTTGTGAGGAGAAAATGAAGTCAGTTTAGTCTATATTTCGCCAGCCCTCAGACGTTCATGATTTTCCTGAAGAACATGGGTGGGATAAGAAATTCTTCTTCTTTACACCATCTCGAACGAAAGTTTCAATTCCAGCGTCATCTGACGTATTCCTGTAAGAGCGGCGAAAAGTGTGAAATCAACAAGCAGACGCGGAACGTTTGCCAGCGTTGCCGATATCTCAAGTGCACCGCCGCTGGAATGAGCGCTGACTGTAAGTGGATAGAGGGCGTTTCCGAATCAATTTTTGAAGAATTTTTTGAGGAGTTGTTCAAAAATGATATTTTAGTGGTATTGAATGAGGACGAGCGAGTACAGAAACGAGAACTTATAAAAGGAAATCGTGAACGTCGCCATCTGGAGCAGCTGCTCGCCATTATCAAAGGACCACCACTCGACGAGAATCATCAAAAGGAGCTCATGTTTGAGGTGATCTTTCTCATTTTGTTAAAAGCTTATTCTGCGATGGTCAGATGGGAGAGGACTCACAGCAATTGTAGCTTACTAAATGGCTTTCCCCTTCTCCTTACTGTATTGGAAGCACTGAGAAAGGCAACTGGTCCTTCCATTTTACCGCCATCCGATTCTCACTATATTCATTTTTAAAGGCACATTCCGCGATAAAATAAGGCTATGACCTCTCAAATGTGTCGGACGATCCGGAAGGCGATTTTTGAGGCTGCGCTACTTTCAAAATGTGAAAAACGGCAAGAACTCCGCTAGAAGCTGACTAATTAGGCCCATGGACACCCCTTAGGCCCATGCCGACCCTCACCGGCTGCTAGCTACTAGCTAGTAGCCACTATGTTATCTTTCTCTATAACATTTCGGACTGCTTTTCTGCTGCTTTTCTCCGCTAATCAGATACTTAGCACTTTTTTGTGCCTATTTGAGTTCCGTTTCCCGCAATTTGCGGTCGCGAACTGTGCCTTTAAACCTTTTAAGGGCAGCGGCCAGGTGTTTAGGCGGCTGAAGGCCCTGCTACGTCATCCTTGCTTGCTGCTCGCTCTCAGCAGCGCCAAAGTAGGGCATACACTTGCTGGCCTACTTTTGAATGAAGAAACAAAAATGAGACGAGATGGCGGGCATAGTGATCCGCAGCTGGCTCTCTCGACCACACTTCGATACCAGCCTACATACATCTTCACCTTGAGAACTGGGGCTTAATTTTGTCATTAAGGTTAAGCGGGTGTCGATCGAAAGGTTTTCAAAGGTTCGCGGTTTTCAAAGGTTCGCAAATCCCTATGAACTCATAAAACTCTAATCTCTGGCTTCCCGGAACTTCTTCGTAATTACCCTAGCTGTCATTACCGTATCCCTTTTGCAGGTTGACCTCATTACGAACTCCTACTGCCGCAATATCGACCAACCAATGAACCGATCTGTGCTGTCGAGTAGCAGCAGCGATCCGGAGGGTCAATTGACTGAGATTCTTCGCCTCATCGTGCGAAGAAGCACCGATTTCGCTCAAGTGGTCGGAGTGTGGAATACGGTAGGTGTACTGTAGTTTATTAAAAGTGGACGAGTGGATTGCTGTAATCAGCGATTATGTTGCAAAAAGAGCCTTTTCACAGTTAATATGGAGCTTTTTGAGTTCCAGATCCTAATGACTTGATTTTAGTTACCAGTAGAATGTCAAACTCAACTGTTGAACTCGACGATGATGGAAGTCCACTTGCTTCGGTTTGCGTCCTTCTTCGATGAAACTGAAGAGTGCTTTAGACCAGCGGCGAACATTTCCTTGAGCCACAGCGATTTGCTGGATACCTTGGCTGTGGACGTTGTCGACCACGACGAAATAGGTGAGTCATCTGAGGGCTGGAGATAAACCCTTTAACACCCCCCCCCTTCAACTGAATAGCTTGAGTGCTTTTAGATGAACTTCGAGAACTGCTCACGTGTTTGTTCTCTTTGGCACGATCGCTGGCTGATTTGCAGCTGGATGATCGTCTACTGGCTGTGCTCAGCGCCATGTTCATCTTCGATCCGACGAACGTATCCGATCCGTCACTGGTATGTTCTTTTTCTTGGCTTACTTTACGCGAAGCTCCGTTAAGCGGCTACTGAACAGCATAACAGACAGCCCCGCCCATTTTTGAATCAGTGATCCCAAGAATCACAGTGTTCAGGTCGAAGTCGTCTCGTTCGCGTATACACGGCTGGACGAAATGCTGCATGCGTTGGTCGACGAAGCCAGCGATGGCATTGGGACGACAAGAGCGTTTGCACGTCTTGTGGCCACGGTGACGGCATTCTGTCGTGTTTGCCATCGTCTCAGCGAACACTTCAAACCACAAAATGTTGAATTCTTTGAGAAAGTACTAGGGTTCTAGCAGATTAAGCCCGCTTAACGTAGTTTCGGGAGGAACAGGAGAGGAAAGGATGCGGGCACTGCTAGCATTCTGACCCTTAGGTCATCGGGAACTCATAGTTGTAGAGTTCGAGCTCCTAGGAGACCCGGAGAATGAGATGATGGTTGAACCTTTTCAAGGCGGAATGTGGCAGCATTTAGAAAAGCATAGTCCACGCTGTTTCATGTAGGAGGATTTAGGCGTGCAGCGTCTTGCAAAATGCCCTTTCCCCCACCTTATAGAAGAGAGAACGCACCAACGGTGATTCCCTACTCCCCCCCCCCCCACACATGATGGAGCCAGAATGGATACAGCTAGCCTTCACTCCAGATTCAGAGTGCAGGACATTTAACTCATGGAAGATCAAACTTGTGGGAGGAGGGGGTCTCAAATCTTCCCTCCAACAACAGGTTTTGATATTCTCTGAATTTAAGCCTGAAACCTTAGTTTCAAATGGAATTCCTTGGGCCATCGGGCTTGTTACTTTCGCTCTCCTCATCGACCTACACGGGTTCTGGCATTCTTGTCCTAAAATGGATTCCTCGGCGAGGGGGATCTTGAGCCTTGGGAATCAAGATCACCTTTAGGTACAGTACACGATCAAGCTACAGATACACACAACTACGATACAGAGCATATGTCAACAGAGCCTCACAGCCAACTTTTTTGATATGCCAACTGAAAACGACAGGTTTACAAACACAGCCCGCGAAATGGGTTTTCCTGTTTTTCAGCAACAGTTCCGCGTTAGAGAGTGTATCCATGAGAGGGAAAGGTAAACTATCCGTATTTGGATGATTTATTCTAGCTGCGAAAGGCTGTACACATTTTGAAGCGCACATAAAGCGATGGGGGGGGGGCAATCCTTGCTCTCATGGTCTAAAACCCGAACTAGCAGAGTCTGAGCAAGGACCAGGTGAAGATGGACTTCTAGGTTGAAGGGAGTCGTACAAGAGACATCGTTGAAGGGGTGGAGGTCTTACTAGGTAACCCCTTTACATCAACGTGCTCTTTTTCCTATATTTAAGATCTCCGCTTATTTCTCCTACATACCTCAGGAAACAAAGGTAAGCCTTACTTTACTTTATGTCTAATCCTATTCCAGGTAGGTAGGTAATTGGTTCGGTCAGCTTTCTTTTTCCAGTTCATTTATCTTTTCTGCCCCGCTTTCCCGAGCTTTAGGCTTAGTTTTTTTCCAAAATTGACCGCTGAATACAGATATTACAATCATTTGGCGCGAGAACGCTTAGCATCTGCGGCGTTCAGGGGAGCACCACCTACCCTTAACGTAAGATATGATTTCTCAAAATGCCAAATTAAAATGAAAAATGGCCATGGTAACGTTCAGAACGTCGAATCACGCTTGGGAACAACATTCCAGCGAATTTAAGGATTTCAGCTGTTTACGCGCTGGCGCTTATGTCGTCGGCAGGCGTTTTGTCGTCGTGCCAAATGAGTGTGAGAATATAGTTTCCAAGAGCAGGCTGCTCCTGAAGAAACCTTCCAGATATGTCGAGATTCTGCCCAAATAGTCGGAAAACGAGGCAGTGAAAGATAGATTGTTTTTTTCTTCTTGCGTTCCTTTTTTTCAGAAAATGGTGAAACTCCTCGGCACCCGGTCACCACCTTAATCGCCGGCGAAAGATGTATGGACTCGGAGGAGGCTGGAAGTTTTACTCTATGGCTTCAAGGCAATCGACATTCAATTTTTCAATACCCATTGATTTTGGAATTTTTTGAAAGCCCTTTGAGCGTGCAGAGTGATCATAAAAACTAAAATTGAAAAAAAGAGTTTCTAACAAATTTTTATTGGCTACTTCCCCCGTGATAGCGTAAATTTGACAAAGATGGTTTTAAATATCTATAACAGAAATTAGTGAAATTCGTTTTACTTAATCTCAATTACAGTAGGGATAGGGACCACGTATAAGGGTTGGACTATAAAATAATTTGGGAAAAAAGTCGCAGCTATTAGCTGATTTTCCGTGCAATTTTATTTCTTATAACTAATTCTATCTCTGCTAATACCTAGGATTAACACTTACAATTAGTATTTTATTCTATTATTAAACGGTGCTTTATTTGAACTCTTTTAATTGAACTTAAGGGGACTGAAATTTGGAGTTTTTTAGTTTTGGTTTTTTGCTCTATGCCTTTGTGTCATGAACTTGACTTGTGATCGAAGTTGGAACGATTGTGAAACGAATTTTCGCCAGAAGCTGAGAATTATTTTTCAAAAACTCTATTAACAAAACAACCAGAAAAAAAAGGAAAAAAATTAATAGTCAGTAGCTGTGTAGAACAAATAACTATGTGTTGTAAATATATGAGACTCTAGTAATTATATAATATTATGCGGTTATGGGCATTCGAATAGGTCTCCACTTTCGTCGAATGGGTGGAGCCCAAGGTACGGTCTCGTCGAACGAGTGGTTCACCATGTGTAAACTAGTAAACACAGCGGTGAATTAGCGAACGGCACGAGGGTACGATCAGCCCCGCCCATATGACGAGCGTGGAATGTGTTTTCTGAAAATAAGTCATTTATTCATATTAGTTCGTATGAACTCTGAAGGAGTACGATATGTGCAATGTGTAAATAGCTCTTACTATACCTCTACATTGGGTGGAGTAATTAAAAAAAATCGCAGTATAAGTTTTGAGGCGTTGTTTAAGTTGGAGGGGGCATTCAGCACTTTCGCTGGTTTCTTTAGTTAGTTCTTGTTGAATAACACTCCACTCTAACGTTCCACCTTGGTGAAAAATGGTGCAATTTGTGGTGCAGTTTGGTAGTAACAGTTTACAGTCTTGGCAAGGTGACCTGTACCAACTTCGTTCCGTGCCTTTGGGTGCCCCCACCAAGCCGAACTGCGCCAATTTTGGTATTATTTTTTCCAAAACATGAGCCTGAACAAGGCGTACAAAATGTGCAATGTGTACATAAACATTTGTTGGCTATTATTGTTATGTTATCCTTTTTATTTGAAAACGAACCGTTTTTGTTGATAATCTGAATTTGGGCATTATTTATCCTTGCCCAATATTTCTTATACACTTCCATAATAAAACTATTTTTGCTTACATACTACTTCGACCAGTCTTCGCTTTTAAGTGAGATTGAGTTTTCCTAAAAACATAAGGCGTACTACAATGTGCAATGTGTACATAATACTATGTAAATAAAGCTTAAAAAATTATGTTTTTGATGGGAATGATCTTTAACAATTAGTGAATATTGTGATTTTTTAACTCAAAATTTGAATTAGCAGAAAATATCAATAAATTCTTTTGATTCTTGATTGTTGTTTGCAGTGACTGCTTCATAATAATTCATCAGGCGGACGTGGAAAAGTGGCAAGTGACAGCTTTTTCTACGTGTGCATTGCGGTATTAAACCCAGCTACCTAGGTAGGGCTACCAATTGGGCCAACTGAAACGTTTCAGGGACCAGCAAATTGCCGCTGAGGTTCTCTTGGAGGATAAAATCACTGACTCATGCATCGAGTGAGTCCCACAAATTGTCACACGGGCCATGTCACAGTAGTAAAACGAGTACGATCTTGAATGGAGGTAAAATGCGCATGGCGCATCCAAAAAATGAACAACTCCGAAGCTTTGTCCTCTATCTGTTATGAATTGATTAGAGGTGGACAAGCTACGAAAGAAATCACATCGATATAGCCCAA